AAAATATTCTGGCAGTAGAGCTTTTTTGATGTTTGGGGGATTGATTTTATTGGACCGTTTCCATACTCTAATGGGCACAAGTACATCTTGGTGGCGGTCGACTATGCGTCTAAGTGGGTGGAGGCTATTTCTCTTCCTACTAATGACACAAAGGTAGTGGTAAACTTTGTAAAGAAGCACATCTTCACAATCTTTGGGACTCCAAGGGTGCTGATACGTGACGGAGGAACTCACTTTTGTAACAAGTTGTTGAATAATATTCTAGCAAAGTATATGAGTTAAGCACAAGGTTTCTACCGTCTATCACTCCCAAACGAGTGCTCAAGTGGAAGTGTCAAACAGAGAGGTGAAGAATATTCTGGAGAAAACGGTAAGTGGAAATAGGAAAGACTAGGCCGGAAAGCTGAACGACGCATTGTGGGCATATCGCACTGTATACAAGACCCCTATAGGTACTTCTCCTTACAGGTTGGTTTATGGGAAGGCGTTCCACTTGCCCACTGAGCTTGAACACAAAGCCTATTGGGCGGTTAAAAAGCTAAATATGGAGATGGACTTAGCCGGTGAGAAGAGGTTGCTACAACTCAACGAGCTTGATGAGTTTCGATTGCATGCATATGAAAATGCCAAATTGTATAAAGAAAAGACCAAGAGGTGGCATGATAAGCACATCCAACATTGCAAGTTTGAGCCAGGTCAAGAAGTTCTCTTTGTAACGACCCGACCGGTCGTTTTTCCTTTTAGAACCCTGTTCCCCTAAATAATGCCTCCCGTACTTGCTTTAACTAATTTACGACTTGCGGGGGCGATTGGTTCGGGGATTGGAAGGGTTTTGAGTAAAAATATGCCCATTTGCTTCTTTAGGATTTCTTAAAAAGACCAAGTTTGACTTCGGTCAACATTTTGGGAAAACAGGCCCGGATTCGTGATTTGACAATTTCTGAGGGTACGTGGGAAAATATGGGACCTGGGCGTGTGTACGGAATCGAATTTCGAGGTCCCTAGCCCGAGTAATGAATTTTTATCTAAAATTGTTTAATTGAAGCTTTAAGGAATTAAAGAAACTGAGTAATCATTGATTCCCTAGGAATCGGGCTCAAATTTTGGTTCCAAAGCTTGGTACAGGTCCGTAATGTTGTTTAAGACTTGCCCGTAAAATTTGGTGTCAATCCGAGTAGTTTAAGGGAGTTTTGACCTGTTAGAGGAGAATTATGAACTTGAAGATTCAATAGTTTGATTCATTTGGTTTTAGGGGGTGATTCCGAGATTTCGCGTTGTATTGGGAGTTTCGAGGGTTCGAGTAGGTCCGCCTCGTGATTTCAGACTTGTCGGTATGTTCGGGCGGGGCTCGGGAGCCCCGAGCGTCAAACGATCGAGGCTCGAGTGAAGTTAAAAATTGAAGAAGAGGCTGAACTGCTGCTTCTGTCATAACCGCATCTGCGGTTCTAGGGCCGCAGAAGTGGGACCGCAGATGCGGTCAGGCTTTCGCAGAAGCGGCCAAGGGCAGCCCCAGGGAAAACCGCAGAAGCGGTCATAAAACCGCAGAAGCGGTTCCGCTTTAGCGAAAATTCGACCGCAGAAGCGGTCCAGCCAAATTGGGCCAGAACCGCAGAAGCGGTTTCCACAGAAGCGCCCTTCAGACCGCAGAAGCTGTCCAGTCACTTAAAGCCCAGAGCCGCAGATGCGGCCTCCTTTCCGCAGGAGCGGGACCGCAGATGCGGTCCCCAAACCGCAGAAGCGGAAACCGCTGGGCAGTGAGCTCTTTTAATTCGAGCTCAAGGTCATTTATTTCACTCACAACTCCACACTAGGGGGATTTTGGTGCTTCCAAAGAGAGGGTTTCGGCATAGCATTGTAAGGTAAGTAATCCCCATTCATCCTTAGTTTAAATACATGTATATTAGGTAGATTAAACACTAAAAATTAGGTGAAATCAAAGGGTTAGAGCTAGACCTAAGGTTTTAATAAAACTAAGATTTAATCATGTAATTTGTTATGAAATGGGCTAGAATTTATATATTATTGATCCTTAGGTTGTAGAGAACAATTTCCTTCGAAAAATATCGGAATCCGGGCACGTGGGCCCGAGGTCGGAATTTAGGAAACTTGTGGGAAAGGTTGGGAAATTACTTAAATAGTTAGAATTCGGCCTTTTAAGCCTTTATTGACTAGTTCTTACCTATTTTAACTAGTTTGCGATCGTTCGGCTTCGAATTAAGAGCTTGGGCTTGTTCTTGATAGTGGGAGCGTGCTTTGGAGCGAGGTGAGTCTCCTTTCTAACCTTGTGAGAGGGAACTATCCCCCTAGGATTAATAATTGAGTAATTGTTGCTAAATGTGGGGGCTACGCACGTGCTAGGTGACGAGAGTCCGTGCGTAGCTACTACTATGTTAATGGTCCGGGTAGTTTAGGACCCACATCATGCTTATTTTACATGACTCTCTATATTATCTTGTTACCATGAGCACCTAGGATATGCTAGAGATTTAAAAAGGGATTAAGGACGTACTTGTATAATTGTTGAAGTCTTGCTTGGCATTATGACTGTTGATGTGCCTTGTGTGTATACTTGATATTTCTACTTATTTGTGGATCGGGCCGATCGCCTCGGTATGAATAGATGCATCTATAGGCGCGCTGTCGACCCTCGGCAAGTGCACAGTTTATTTCTGTTGGATCGGGCCGTCACCTCGGCATATTTGCGCATGCTTATATAGCTTTGCCTGAGAGTGTTAAATATTAGAACTGTTTTTTTTCATGACTCGAAAGGAATTGATAATTGTAACTGAAGTAATTGATTAATCGGAATCTTAGCGAGAATATGACTTATATGCCTTGTTGTAAACT